CTTCTTGGCCTTGATGCCAGGCGACCAAGAACCTTGGTGACCAGCTTTCTGCAAGCTTAGGGACCTTGATAAGCCCCCTCCTTCAGTTTTATAATGGAGAAGCTGAGGCTCTAAAGCCACAAAGTAATCCTGGGATGGCCCTCCTGTCCCAGATCTCAGGCTTGGCTGCCTCAGGCTGAGGGTCGAGAGGATGCTCTGATGCACTATTCAACATACACCTGAGGCTCACCTGTGGGACACAGTGGTCTTCACAGCAGTCACTATGGCTGTGCTTATGAAATAGGTGTCTGGTGGGAAGAAGGGACACTCGACAAATAAGGATGCAAGTATTTTAATTTTATGAGGGTGATTGTCTTAGTGTTCCTTAGAGAAACAGAACCATAATATACAAACAGAGAGAGAGAGGGAGGGAGACAGACAGAGACACAGAAGGAGATTTGCTTCAAGGAACTGGGTTGCATGATTGTGGGGGGCTGGCAAGTCCAAATCTATAGGGCCAAGTATCTATTTATAGTCTGGCAGCAGAACACACCCTAGGAAGTTCTCCTTTTGTTCTAGAGGCCTTCAATGGGTTGATTACATCAGATTACATTATGGAAAGTTATTACATTGCATTTCATTGTGGAAGATTATTACATTACATTAGATGGAAGGTGATTGTATTACATTGCATTGCATTGTATTATATTACATTATGGAAGGTGATTACAATGTATTAAATTAGAGAACATTATGGAGGATGTTCTACTTTACTTGAGGCCAACTTATTTAATCAAACATAACTACACCATAAGAGCAACCAGACTAGTGTTTGGCCAAATACCTTGGCACTACAACCCAGTCAAGTGACATATGAACTTCACCATTACAGTGATAGAGGAGACAGATAGAAGCCCCACTGGGCAGAGAAAGTAACTATGGCCATGACAGAAGCCAAGGGACCTCAGCCCAGAAAGATCCAAACTCCTGGAGGCAAGCTGGGCACTGCATTCACTCTGTTTTCTCGACAGGGCACCTCCTGTTCTTCAGTAAGAGTGACTGTGAGTTCAGTTACCTGCAAAGGAGGAGCAAATCCCAGACAATGACCCTGGTGCCCGGCAGCACACTCCCAGACCAGATCGACCCAAGAAAGAAGATGCCCTGGTATATCTCGGTCATCCACGAGAAGGTAGGCCCAAGGAAGCAGGGGCATCATAACACAAATCCGGCCCGCACATGCTTGCTTGGCATCTGCCCGGTACAGATGCCACACCATCCCTTTAGCAGGTACCAGGTATATAGCGTCTGATCGACTACACCAAGTAGGTCCCCAGAGGTGGCCTGAAATGTGCACCAGACCCACAACATTGGCTTTTGTGAATCCACCCTATAGGACAGAGTAGACCTGCCCCACAGGGTTTCCAAGGCTGTAAATCTTTATGGAAGCAGACTGCCTCATCTTTCTCCCATGGAGTGGCTAGTGGGTTTGAATGGTCGCCCTTCTGGTTTGCACCCAAATGCCTTAACTACTCCACCACCAGTCAGATGTTACAAATGTCTTGTCCCCAGAACATCCTCACCTTGCTGGTGGCATGACACCCTCCAGGGCAGCTTGCTACCATGCACCCTGACCCTTCAACAGTGATTCACAATATGACCTAGTGACTCCGCTTTGAAAACTGGAGTCTCTGGTAGCATAGTGCCTAAGGCACTTGACTGCTAACCAGAAGGCTGGTGTTTCAAGCCCACCAGCCACTCCTCAGAAGGAAGATGGGGCAATCTATTTCTGTACTGATACTGCGTCAGAAACCCAAGGAGGGGTCGCTATGAGTC